AACACTGGAACAGGTTGCCCAGAGAGGGGGTGGAGGCCCCATCCCTGGGAACATTCCAGGCCAAGGTTGGCCGGGCTGTGAGCAACCTGATGTGGTTCAAGGTGTCCCTGCTCCTGCAGGGGGGTTGGGCTGGGTGGCCTCTAGGGGTCCCTTCCCACCCAAAACATTCTGTGGTTCTGTGATTCAGCACAGCGGGGAGCAACCCATGCTGCAAAACCCCTGGGTGGGAAAGCGCAGGCTGGGAACGGGGGCGCAGTAGTGAGAGGCACCACGAGCCTACGAGAGGCACCCATGGGGGGGGTTAAAGCGTGCATCAGTATTCCAGGTGCCAAGCTCACGTGGCCTTTTAATAGTTGTTATTTTCTTAATTAGGTTATGTCAGCTCTTGTTGCTATTCTGGAACAGCTAAATCTGAAGTGTGAACATCCCTGCTGTAGCACTCCGAAACTTGGCACCTCACAGCAGGCTTACTAAATGCCGCGGGCTAGGACAACAGAGAGCTTATTTTGGTTTAGCTTTTCTAATGGAGGAGATGTCACTTTATCCCACAAAACCTTCACAGACTGCAAGCGTGCCCAGCTCCGGCACAAGTCGGAGGTGAATAGGGGAAGGAGAGAGGCTCAGCAAACTCAAGAGCATCTCAAGACGATGCAACTGCAGCGCTTTCAGATCCGAGGGGCAAGAAGAGAATGAAGTCCCGTGGCACGGCTGGGGATGCTGCTGGCTCCACGTCCTCTCCATCCTCATCGCCAGCCACAGAAGGGTTCAGTGGAAGAAGCTGCTGGAAGCCTGGGCCAAGCAGATTCCTGCACTTGTTTGACTATGAAAGCTGTGACCTTACAGCAACACAACTGCACCAGTAAAAACTCTAAAGGGAATGGCAAGTTCAAGGTAACACCACCTTAAAAACTGGTCAGCTGATTTCCCTTCTCCTGCAGGCATGCCCTTACTCAAATAGCTGCAGCCATTCCAGCAGGTTGAACCAAAATCTTTGCAGCAATACAGTTTTTTGGAGACTCAGCAAGGTAGCAGCAGCTCTCCGTTGGCCTCTGTACTGCTCATCAGCTATCAAAGATCTGGGAAAAAAAAAAAATCTCACTTTTCTGTGTTGCTGAACACTTACCACTACCCAGCGCTTGGTTTTGCAGAAAGGACCCCCCCCAGCTCATGGCATAC